CCCATTTTGTTTAGATTTTCAAATTTATTTACATAGAGGTCTATAGAAGAGTTTTATGGTTTTCATTTTAATTTCTTCTGTTTCAATGGTCATTTTCCCCTTGACATTTACTTTTGTGTATTGGTACTTTTTCTCTCTTATTGATTAAGTTGACTACCAGTTGTCTATTTTTAATTTTTTTAGAAATGCAGGATTTTGGTTAATTAGATCTACTTTTTTATTAACCTACCTTATTAATATGTGAGTTATCTTTATTAATTGCTTTCTTGTGTTTTTTTAGTTTACTTGTCTAGTTTATGAGCTGGAAATTTAATTAATTGATTTTTATTGATTAAACTGTTCAAGGCTATAGATTTTTTAAAAAAATTATCGCTTTAAATGTATCCCATGGATTCTAATATATAATCTTTTATTATAATTATTTCTTAGAAATTCTGTAATATTTCAACAGATGGGGGAGATTTAAGTTGTGGTTGGGTGGGTGATAGGGTAGGTGGAAAGATTCCTGGTAAAGCTTGTTTTGAACGTTGAAAAATGATAATTACAACGACAACTTCCGTTTACTGAATGTTTGCCACGTAACTGACACTGACCTAAGTAGTTATATATATATTATCTAATTTAAGCTGTATAACATCCTTTTGAGGTAGATATTTTCCCATTTTCAGAAGTGAAATCGGTGGCTTGGAGGGGTTTATTTAATTTGCAAAGACTGTATGAGCAGTTGTTCAAATTTGAATCCTTTTTTTACTCCAAAGCCTGTGGCTTTTACTTAGGCAGTAATATTGTGAGGTCACAGAGGTGTTGAACAGTATGGCATAATCAAGGAATTGTTCGTTGTTCAGTGTGACTGGAGTGAAGTTGGTACTTGGTGATATAGTTTCTGGCTGGGGAAAATAGTTCACTGATTGCAGTAAGATGGAAAACATGAAACAAAGCAGGTTTATATAAGATGATGGGTAAGTTTGATGTAACTATTGGATAGCTAATTGGATCTGCCTGGTAGGAAAGTGATATTTGGGTCTAGAGGTCTGTGGAGTAATGTGTGCTACAGATGTGAATTTGGGTGTCATTACCTTACAGGTGATAAATAATGGGTTTTGAAAGTGGTCACCTAGAACAATATGTACAGTTTGAAGATCAGAGAGTGTAGGACAATGAAACTTAAGTTGAGCAGTGAAAGAGCCTGAAAAGGAAACTAGAAAAAATAGTTACAATGTTAGAAGGAAACCTAGGAGATAGTGGTGTCACAGGCTCTAAAAAAAGGAGTTTCCAGAAAAAAGGGGGTCTTTAGTATCATGTGCTTTGAAGACGTAAAGAAAGATAACATCAGAAGTTTTTATTTGATTTAACAATAGTTGAAAAGACAATTAATATCTTAAATGACAGCCCTAGTAAAGTAATGAAGATTGAGTTGAAGAAGAAGAAAACACAGGGATTATAAACTGCTTGTTCAAGAAATTTGGCTATGAAAGGGAAAGTAATAGGGTGTTGGCAGCTAGTGGAAAGTGAGCTTCAGGGTGTCCTTCCTCCTCCCTCCTCACTTTCCTCCTTCAACCTTTCCTCCTCTTTATTTCTTTTCCTTTCTTTCTCCCCTTCTCTCTTTCTAATCTACCTACCTTCCCTCTTTTTTTTTTTTAATGATACACTTGAGCATTTAATGTTATAAGAATTTAACTAAGGGGACAGTATGACATCTTGCCTTAGAATATGACTATAAATAAGAGTGACAAAAGAAAGAAAAGCAAAAAACCCATTGCTGTTAAGTCGATTCTGTCTAACTCATGGTGACCCTATAGGACAGAGTAGAACTGCCCCATAGGATTTCCAAGGAGTAGCTGGTGGATTTGAGCTGCTGATCTTTTGGTTAGCGTCCGAGCTCTTAATTGCTGTGCCATCTTGGGCTTCAGACTCCAGAGTGACATAAAGAGATGTTTAAATGTTCAGATGTTAGATCAGAATAATACTATGAAGGGTTTCTTTTTTTTTTTTTTTTTAATCCAGGATCATAGCCACACGTAACCTTTATCCCCAGAAATAAACATACTTATTTAACAAATTTTTGTAATAACCTTTAAAGTAATAATGAAAATGATATCAACACTGTGCCAAATGCTTATATTTTAGCCAATTTAAACTTCGTCAGCAAGCGTATTCTCATTTTACAGTTGTAGAAACTGAGGCATAGGGAAATTAAGTAACTTTCCCAATATTCTACCTTAGTATGACAATATGGCTCCAGAGTCTATGCTATTAATCACAAGGCTATGTTGTCTTTCCCTACTATACTACTTGTTTTCATAACTTTACAAGTTCATGAAGAGTATTTTTCTTATAAATTGTAATTCAGAATTAGAAGATAGAATAATGGGATGTTTTAGAGAAATCTCTTTTCAGCGTATAGCATAAGATCGATCAGATCAACTTACTTCTGTTGCACTTCTTTTCTGACACCAGCTATACATGCATCAGTCACTTCTTCCTCTCATCCTAACCACCTAAAGCTAGGTCAGATCTCACAAATTAAAGGACATAGTCCTCTAGGCTGTTAAATCTGCCTAAGACCTCAGATGCCAGTGGGACACTTCGGTGTCCCCATGACATTCTCATTTCTGATCTGCTGGCTACAGATTTGGGTTTTTCTCATATCCCTTCAGGATGCCATCCATGAGCTTGGGAGTCTCCAGGGGCCCCCTCACTTCTGACCTGCTGGCTGCCACTACTCCTTTGGGTTCGATAATTTGCTACAATGACTTCATAGAACTTACAGAAAGTGTCATTTTAGGATTACAATTTTATTATAGCGAAAAGGATACAAATGAAGTGAAGCAAAAGGCGAGGTCTGGAAGGGTTCCCAACATGGAGTTTCCGTGTCCCAAAAAAGGAACGGCTACCCTCCCACATGCATCCATGTCTTTCACTAACCAGGAAGCCCGTGGAGCTTTTGTGTCCATGGCCAGTGTTAGGGTCTCATTATGTAGGCATGATTGATTGAATGATGCCTTTTCCCGTCAAGGTTGGCTGATATCACGAGGTGGTTTTCTGGTCTGGCCAGCCCCTGATCTAAGTTACCTCATTAGCATAAATATTCAGAAGCCTATAGAAAACAAAGGCATCTCAGTTACCTAGGAAATTCCGAGAGTTTAGAATTTTCAGGAATCAAGGACAAAGACCAAGTTCTTTGATAAAGTTAATAATAAATCCCAAATGGTGATCATTAGGAAAAGAAAATTCTGAAAAAGAAGTGCTAACTATAAACATCACTTCTGTTTTTTAATATTTTATTAAAGAAAGTGGCATGCCTGTGGGTAAAGCTAGAATATCATAATTATCCAGGAGTCCTGGTGGCACAAACAGTTAAGCGCTTGACAGCTAATTGAAAGGTTGGCAGTTTTTGAACCCACTCAGCGGCTCTGTGGGAGAAAGATCTGTGATCAGCTTCTGTAAATATTACAGGGAGGAGAACCCTACAGGGCAGTTCTACTCTGTCACATGAGGCCACTATAAGTCAAAATCAACTTGATGGCACACATCAACAATGGTACACAGTATCTAAAAATCACAATAGTGCTGTATAATAAACGCTTATATAAGATAATGATCCCTTAGAGAATGAATCAGGGATTGAACTATTTTTTTTAGTTTGTTAATACTTAATAGCCTTATAAATGTTTTTCTTTAGGAAAAAATGCAATTGCCATTGTGAGCTGCCTTCCAGAATTTATGGCAGAACTTCACTGACGTTGCTACCGATGCCAATGTGGAATAAAGGTCTCTATAATTTAGAAAGTCAAAACATATAAATGACTTACTGCTAAAAATGATTAACTTTTACTCTTAAAGTGTAAAACACATAAAATGCAAATTTATTTGTTTGGAAGAAACATATTTGAAAATAAAGTAATTTAAATACAGACAGTTTTTTTTTGCCCTCATCTATACTTTGTTTTATACCATGTTTGGTAATTGGCCTTTCCTTTTATGACTTTTGCATTTGAACCCTGATCACAATCTAATGATGTTTTGTTGTAAAAATAGTCACAAAATTCTGTTTTAACATTATTTTTCTGTAGAAACAATTAATTTAGCAAACTAAAATTGGCTTAATTTTAACCTGAAAATTTTTTTGTTACAAAAGAAGAACTTAACACAGAGACAATTGGATTAGTTGTTTCAAAGTAATTGTTCTTCTCCTTATTCATTTTATTGTAATAAATGTTTAATTGGTTCCGCTTGCCTGCTGGGCCATAAGGTCATTGAATGCATGGGTACATCTGTCTTGCCCCCTGCTGTCTCCTCAGTGCCTAATGAAGTGCCTGGCACTAGTAAATGCTCCCAAGAATTTTTCTTCAGTAAATGAATAGATACATATTTCAATACTTTTCTGAGTTTGAAATGTGCTTTTTCTTAAAAAAAAATTTATTGTGATGAACTATATTTAACAAAACTTTTCAACTAATTTTTACGTGTACAATTCAATGACATTAACTACATTCACTACATTGTACAATGATCACCATGTCCGTTTCAAAATTTTCTCATCACCGTTAACAAAAACTCTGTACCCATTAACCAGTACTCTCCCACTTCCCCCTCCCACATGCCTTGGTAACTGCTAATGAACTTTGGTCTCTATGCATTTGCCTATTCTGGATATTTCATATAAGTAGGATCATACAATATTTATCGTTTCTTTGTCTGACTTAGAAAATGTACTTCTTATGGCTGTGTGTTAGTACGTAAACACTGTGACATTATTAAACTGTTTTTTCTTTTTGTTTAATATGACATGGATGTATCATATTAAATTTAAAACCACTAGTTTTAGATTTTAGATAACAGTCTCTGAGGAATAGGCAGAGAATACTCAGTTTTATTCTCAGGACTTTTACTTCCCTTACCTTTTCCCTTTCCTTTCCTCTCCTCTCCTCTCTTCCCTTCAGCCTACCCTCTCTCTGTTTTCTCCTTAGTAATTTTATGCTTTTTTTGTTCTCTGTTAGTGTCTGGAGTCCACCTTTCCCCAGCTTCTCCTGAGATTGTGCTGGACAACGACCACTCTTTGCCGTCTGTTGGCTGCCTCTCTTCTGATCCCATAGTTTCATCACCCGAGAATACACATGCAGACAACAGCATTGTCGGTCAGACTGTTCCAAAAGCACAGGTAAAGTCAAGAATATTTTTAAAGGATGTTTTCATATTTAAAAAAATAGTGTGCAGATTCAGTTACAGCTTTGTGATTTTTCTTTTTAAAACCTATGGCATGGCTATTGATATACTATTGATAAGCATTTTTATTTTTCTAAAATAAGTATTTCTGCAATAGCTATTCTAGTTTTCAGATTAATACCTAGAATTAAAAAGAAAGATATTCTTTGTTTTTGGCACAATTTGCAAGATATTTAATTATCTATAGTTATCAAAATATGGTTGGGATATCTCATTTATTAAAGTTGACTTAGCTTGCATTTCAAATCTTGAACTTCAAAAGGGAAAATAATTTTAAAGAGGAATGGCTATTTCTCTTTTTAGGGAATCTTACAATATGTCTTAAAGTGTTGGAGCATCCATTTCAATTATAGAGTAAAAACCAAAAAGACACAGCAGTTCATGGGATTTATTCATTTAAATATTTATTGACTGTTCTTCAGGAACTGTTATCTAAAATCTAAAACTAGTGTTAAATTTAATATGACCATGTCCATGTCATATTAAACAAAAATAAAAAACAGTTTAATAATGTTGAAGTGTTTACATACTAACACATTGTCATAAGAAGGACAATTCCTAAGTCAGACACAAAAGGACAAATTCTATATGATCCTACTTATATGAATAGGTAGGTGCTAGGTGCTAGAGTTACTTCAGATTTCCAAAGTGCTGTACACATTCTTGAGTCACCCGTTATCTTTGCTAGAAAGTGATGATCAATTAGGGGTCATTGATAAATTTCAAATTCTGACTTACAGTTTAAAATATAAAGAGATTTTCTCTGTGTGTGTAAAATCAAGAACTGGTACCAGATGTATCCATACCTTATTACATAGTTTCAGTCATGAGAAAAAGCTTAAGTTTTTTAGTGCTATGCTAGAAAGATCATAAATGGTTTAGACTGTAAAATAGAGGAAACTTTGTTTCTTCCTGTAAAGATCAGGTTGTAACAGTTTGAGGTCTTCTGTTGATTTACTTGAAGAGTAAAATAATTTCGGAACCTTTGCTGCAACTTAATTTCCAAATGTGGTTTCTGGTGCCCTTTGGATGTTTTCGTTATTGGTACAGTGTAAACTTTCCCGTCTTGTTTTCTTTTTCTTTTTTCTTTTTCTTTTTTTCTTAATGTGGTTTAGATTCAACAATCAACACACACTCATTTGGATATCTCACTTTTTCCACTGGGTTTAACTGATGAGAAAAGTAATGGAACAATTGCGCTTGTGGATGATTCTGAGAATCCTGGAGCCAATGTATCAAACATACAGCTTCAGCAAAAAATTTCAAGTCTGGAGATTAAACTCAAAGTTTCTGAAGAAGAAAAACAGAGAATTAAAAAGGTATGCTTATATTTGCCTAAAAAATACATATTTGAATTGCATATACTGGGAATTTGATACAATTCCAAACTCTGATTAAAATCTCATCAGAGGAAGAAGATATTGTCTTACCTTACCCCTACATTTAAATTAGTCACATGAGTTTATCACTTGGAAAAGCCTTTGATAAGCAGTCTTCAGTCTTATACATGTACTTTTTTATGCACTAAAATGAGATTTATTTTTATGCAAGATGTTCAGACAGAAATAGATGTGACGTATTTGAGAAATAATAAGTACTATTAGCTATTCCCGTTGTCCTTCCTAAAGCAGAAAAATATGCAATAGATATATGTTCGAATTGGAGGGGGAAGGTGATCTTCAGACCTCTAAAGGGACCTTCAGAACAACAAAATTAGAAAATGATTTTTTTCCTCTACTGCATGATATAATTAACTGGATCAGTTTAGTGCTATTAAAATAACACATGTACTTTAAAAAGATAAGAACAGTTTTTATTAAATTTTGTTAGATTTTCTAACTAATAATTACCTTTCTAGTTTTTTTATCATTTAGATTTTGAAAGCAGGTAGTATTGTACTTCCTGTGCTGATTACCCATTGCCGTCAAGTTGATTCTGGCTCATAGCGACCCTATGGGACAGAGTAGATCCGCTCCATAGAATTTCCAAGGAGCAGCTAGTGGATTCGAACCGCCGACCGATTTGGTTAGCAGTTGTAGCGCGACATAGCTCTTAACCACGCTACCAGGGCTCAAACCAAACCCACTGCCATCAAGTCAGTTCTGACTCATTAGTGACCCCATAGGGTTTCCAAAGCTGTAAATCTCTAGGGAAGCAGACTGCCACATCTTTCTCCCATGGAGCCACTGGTGGTTTCTAATCACTGACCTTTCAGTTAGTAGTTGGTTTCTTAAACCACTACGACACCAGGGATTCTTATGCAGATTAGAAGTATTGTAATAATGGCTTCCCCTCTTTGTGGAATTTAAAGCACTGAGATGTGAGGCATCCTGGGATATTTGACTGGAGCCTTAGATTTACAGCTGTTTTAGTAAATTAATTGTTAATACTCTCATTTCTCTTCTCTGTAAGTATATCTAAAAGAAGACCTTAGTAAGTTTATAAAATGTATGTGTAGAGATTATATTGATTGAAATTAATGAAATGCTCGTATCCACTTATTGGAGTAATTTTAGTATTATCTCAGTGTTTTGATGTTAGTCTAGAAATCAGAGTGAAGCATAAAATCTGTAATATTGTTGGACTTTAAACCATATTTCCTGTGGTTTCTTTTTCTGCCAAGTATTTTCTGGTATATTTAATGATAAATGAAATATATTTTATGCCATTAAATATTACTAAGTTTGTGCTTGGATTTTTCTTTTAGGATGTAGAAGCATTAATGGACAAGCATAGTATCTTAGAAAAAGGCTTCCTAAAAGAAAAAGAGCAAGAAGCCATTTCTTTTCAAGATAGATACAAAGAACTTCAGGTAAGCCCAGTGAAATTAAAATGTAGACCTTTTGATCAGGCATTTAGTATAATTTCTAAAAGTCCTCGGTTCCCTTTCTTTGCTTTGCATTTCCCCTAGCGCTTATTCTCACTTGATATCTTATTTTGATTTGCTTATTATTTGTCTCCCCTGCTGCCCCACCACCTGAGTTAAGCTTCATGAGATTGGGGCCTTTACTACTTCTTGCCTAGAGCAGTACCTGGCATGTAGTAAGTGCTTAATGAATATCATTGAATGACTGACTGAATGGATAAGTACACTAATTACATTGTGTATGTCCATACTTACCAACTCTATACTTGAAATTATGGTGCTTATTAAAAGGCACAGAACTGAATATTGAGAGAAATTTGTGTTATTTTTGTTTCCATTGAGTGACTTATTCTGGATTCTTCAACGAAACGTTTACCTTTGCAAATTCAGTTTTTCCATATGTTAATGGGAATAATAGCACACCTGAGAGACCATGAAGGATCTGGCATATAGCACTTTGAACTTTTTATTTTAAAGACCAATATGAATGCCAAGTGACATTATCATTATTGTCTTACTGCTTTTATTATTAATAGCAATAATCTAAGAGTGATGAGTTGCATCTTCAAAACTAGTATTCAATTTGAAAAGCTCTTCTTACCAGAAATTGCCAAAGAAAACTTTTTTCAGATGATTTTACTTTAGTACCAGTGGACCTCTTTTTTCAGCAGATGGATAAAAGAGTAAACTAATTTATGGAATATTTTGTCATCTTTGTTAAATAAGTGTTATGAAAATGTAGGAGGTCTCGTAGCCAAATTGAACTCAAAAGCAGACTTGCTTTTTAATTAATGTGCCTCTGCATCATTTCTGAGGAAGCATTTCTTTTGTTATAGTTTCGCAGGCCTTTGAGGTTCTGTTCTTTTTTTTTCTCTTTTTATTGCGTTTTTTCTCTGTTGTTCAGATGGGGTAGTAATTTATATTGTTCGTCTTATAGTTCACCTATTTTATAGTCTAGCTAATCGTTTTCTTATTTCGGTTGTCTTTTTCATTTCTAAAATTATCATTTAGTTTTTCACTGTATCTTCTATTTTTTTATTTGTTTCAGGCATATTTATAATTACTTAATTAAATAGAACATATTTATATTTTTTTTCACTGTATCTTTCTATTTTTTTATTTGTTTCAGGCATATTTATAATTACTTGTTGAAGCATTTTTATGATTGTTGCTTTTTAAAATCCTTATCTGATTATTCTAATATTGGTGTCATCTCTGTGTTACTGTCTGTTGATGGTCTTTTCTCATTCAAGTTGAGATTTTCCTGATTCTTATTATGAGGAGTGATTTTTAATGGTATCTTAGGCATTTTGGGTATTTGGTATGACATCTTCGATCTCATTTAGATCTTGTAGGCTTCTTCTAATACTGCACTGGTTGGGGAAAGGAGAGTGCCACTTTGTTATCTCAGGTGGGGTGAAATTCCAAATTTCCCACTCAACTCCCTTTGATACCTTGGGGAAGAGGGGTACCTTGTTACTGCTGGGAGGAGGCAGGATTTTAGGCTCCCCATATGCCTTCACTAACATCACTCTTGCTGCGAGGAGGAGAGGTGCCTTTTTATGTTCTCCATGTACCTGTACTGTTAACATTGGGTTAGGGGAGGGCTTGTTGCCTCTGGATGGTGCTAAAAGTTCTGGCTTCCTACTCCACCTCCTCTGACACAGGAAGGGAGGGGGACTGACCCTCCTTAACTCTGAGTAGGAGTAAAAGTTCTGGTTCCCTGCTTAGTTTTCTCTGATAGCAACTCAGGGGGCAGCCAAGAGCACCTCTTACAGCTGGGTGAGGGTGGTCCTCTAAGGCTCCGCACTTGATGTTTGCTGAGAGGAGAGGGGATGTGTCCATGGTTTTTTCCATGGTATTTGGCTGGCATAGGTCATTTATTGTCTAAAACTTTTCTGTTTTGCTAGGTTGCTTCTTTTCTTATCCTTTGGCTAGAGGAAGAATGCTTTTCTTGGATTTTTTGTGTCTGTGCCCTTTGGCATTTCCAGGTTTCTGGGTCTTCCAGTACCCAGTTGGGATATATGAGACAGAAAGAAGATTCACAGAACTCTCTGCTGTTTCATTCATCAGACATTCCATGTCTGAAGGTGATGTGCCTTCTCTCTGCTTTTCGGTATCTTTTTATATTTGTTTTAAATATAATGTCCAGGCCTTTTAGCTGTATTTTATGAGGAAAACAGGGAGGAAAATGCGTTTCTTCCGTTTTGGACTTGAAGTGGAGTAAAAGAGTACGTTTTTCATTTTCAGTGTTCTTTGTTTAGCTACATCTGGAAATTGATTTCAGACTTAAAATACATTAATTTAAAACATGTAATTTCGAGTTATTTATTTTAGGAAAAAACTGTTCAAGCAATCATTACTCATGGAGTCTCTGTGGATGGAGGAGGAATAAAAATATGGATATCTCAAAATGGGAGATAATCCATAAATATTTAAATCTCTTGTTTACCTTTGAAAGTTTGTGCATACTTATGTGTGTATTGTTGTTCTTAGAAGCCATCAAGTTCTGACTCATAGTGACCCTACAGGACAGAGTAGAACTGCCCCATAGGGTTTCCAAGGAGTGGCTAGTGGATTTGAACTGCTGACCTTTTGGTTAGCAGACAGGCTTTTAACCACTGTGCCACCAGGGCTCCTATGTGTGTGTTAGACATTTTCAAAATGTATTTTCAACAAAAATATTAAATTGTATAGATTTGATTCACCCTCTGACCTCCTTTCTAGAATCTGTTTCTCTCTGGGGTTGTAGGCTTCATTCAAACTGGTACAAAGTTAGTTCTGCCTAATAATTTCTTGGGAATAGGAGATGTGATTAAATTTGTGTCAAAGAAGGCCACAGTTTGCTAAATACATATAGGATGAAATATTAGCGAGGGCTTATACTGGTCAGTACTTAGTGATTATATTAAATTTCTTGCATGGGAATATGATTTGCCAATCATCCCTCAAATCTTTGAAAGTAAATATATTTATCGTATATTTTATGTAGAATATGACAATCCATATATTTTTTATATTAAGATATCTAACATACAGGTTTTCTGGTATTTGTGGAGCTTAATGAAATAGAAAAAGTTTTCTGCTGCGTATGATTACAGAGATGATGTATTTGTGGTTGCCTCTCTATGCTATCCTAAATAAAGCAAAATTTGTAAGAATATAAAATAATACTGACAAGAGTAAATTAAATTACCTGAGAAGCTTTTTTTCTTAAGAAATATTAATTCACTCTATATTTATAAAAATAGTATTTTTGTGGAAAATGGGGACAATACAGAAAAAGAAGAGAGAAGAAAGTGAAAATTATACCTGTTCCCCTTGAAAACCCCAGTATTTTCACCTGATTTCAAAATGTAGGACCTTGAAATTTCAATTTTGTGAAGAAATCTACCTCCACTTAGACCAGTGTTGGGTGTGCCTTTGTCAAGATTTTAGTCTGCCTAGAGAAAGAGTAATTAATAAATGGAATGTTTTAAACAAACTCTTTTTTTTCTTAACACTCCACGTTGAACTGCTACAGAAAATTCTCGCTGTGTTGTTTTATGCGATATGGTCTAATTACCAGGATAGGTGGAGTGGTGTGAATGTGCCCATAACAGAAGGAAATAACGAATACTGTGAACTCTACAGTACAAATGAGGGCGTGCACTACCTCTCCTTTTCCTTTTCTGTCCAGGGTGTGTAGCCTAACCAGAGGAAGAAAAATGAGTCAGGCCACATTTGTCAGAGATAGCTATTTAAAGGACTTTTATGACACTTCATTAGAGAACTCCTCATTTTAGTACAACTTGGGCTACAAACCCTTTTGTCTTCTTTCTCTGACTCCCATAGCAGGTTGGTCAGCACCTGTGACCAGCACTAAGTAAGGAAACTTGGCAGCTTATCAGATCCCACATGTTATAATGCTGCCACATTAAAAAAAAAAAAAAATAATAACAGAAACAGGTGATTATTAAGTTGTCATCTCTGACAGTTGTCAGTGCTGATAGCTATGGCTAGTTTTGGGAATTTTCTGGTTAATGCTTTTAAAGACTAGGCTTGTCCTTCCAAATACCATTTCCTACGAAATGCCTCCTGGTCACAGTAGCTTGATTATTCTGCTTGGGAATTTAAATAAAAAATGAGAAAACAATGTTTCAGAGGATCTGCCAGTTACCACCTGTGTTCTCTTGCTAATGTCACAACTTATATGACTTAAGTGTTAATAGATATCATTGTTAATATTTTTGTATATTATTTTAAAATGGAAAATAGTCAGGTATTGGACATTTGGCCCCCTGGCCAGATACTACTGTTCTAATTGTGCTTTATGACATTTGGTTAAGGGTAGATAAGAGCTTGATAACCGTGAACATTTAATTTGAAGACCTGGTATGAATTGCATAGTAACTGAAAATGTAGTTTGCAGTCCTACTTAGGAGTGGAGAATGCTGAAGGAAATTCTAATTAATCACAGCCTAAAGATATTACATTTATTCACCTATCTTTAAGTATGATTAATTATACTTTGAAGAGAAGAAGTAGAATCAAAGGAGAATAAAGAAGATTTTGTGTTTTGGTTGGGCTCAAATATTTGTGACTTTCTTTTAGTACTTACTATATTTTAGATTGGATTAGATATTGTGAAAAGAATAAATTTCAGTTGTTAGGAAAGCTGTTCCCTTCATCTTATAAAGGGAAAGTCACTATGAATGGGCAGTCCTTGTGAGATACACCCAAATGTTTTTATTTCTTATTCCAAAGCTAATTGAATGAATTACCAAGTCTGTAAGTTAAATAATACTTAGGAGACCTCTTTGCCAAACTGTATTGGAACTATAAGCACTGTCATAATAGGCATTTACATTGATTAAAGCAGCAAGCTTTTGTATTCTAGAAAAGTTTATCAAAGCAAACTGGTAGAATTATTTATATAAAAAACAACAACATATTGAGAGTTTGAA